AAATGAATATATATATATATATATATATATATATATATACGTTCAAAAAGTGATTTTCAAAACTAAAAATTGATCACTGACCTGTTTCTTTGCTAATTTTCCAAATATATAGAAGTTTTTCGCCGACTTTAACGACATTTCTTGACTGAGTGTCTGAATCTGGTTGAATCAGCATTTCTACTTTAGGTGCTTCAGCTTTACCGGATATTATTCCCTTAGTTGATATATCGCTGAAAGGGGAAAAAAAGCAGGCTAAAATGGTTTCACTACTTTGCGGTAACTGAATTAGAACTTTCAAACTAGTCTCAACATTTGTTTATCAAAAATACAGTTACAGCAATGGTTACATCTTTAGCAGTATCAACTGGTACTGGTTAACAGTGTTGTTTTTTAGTTTAAATTATTTCGCCTAATTTACATATTTAGAAGTTCAAATACAGTTGCAGAAGATTTTTTTTTTTTACATTTTCTCATTGCTGTTGAAAATTGGTTAGGTGTTTTTCTTTTTTAGATGTCAAAACACTCACGATATGAAGTTAAATTTGGTGGCTACGGTCATTTGCTGCTGTACAAATATACAATGGACGGCAAATGAACGATCTCCAGCTGTTACAAAATTTGGATGAAAACTGAACACAAAAATTGTAAAAATTTCCAATTCTTTGGATGTTGCCTGCAAAGGAGAAGATGAAAAAAGAAACAGAAGAGTTGAATAAAGAACTATAATAATTTGCTGTGGTTTTTTTGGAACCAGTATTGTACAGTATGGACTGCATATTTTTCATCGTCTAAATTTTTACTTTGCATTCGTAAACATAGTCAGTTATTCATTTATAGTCTTCTTCACTCTTTTCTTATTTGACTTATGGTCAAGTAACGAAAAAATTTTAACCTTTCTCTTTTTTTTGCTAACTGAACAAATGGTAAACTGTTTCTCTTCTTTTTTTTTCTAGAAGTTATTTGTCCTTTCAAGGTTAAAACTGTGAAACGTAGTTTTAAATACCTCTTAAATAAATCAACCTCAAATAATTGGACATCAGTACAATCTTTTTTTTTTTTTTCTTTTAGGTTTATCAATAAACTTTGTACTTCTCTTTTAACACTGCAAAGGTGAAGAAGAGCGTGACAAAAACAAATAAAACTTTGTTTTTGGGTTACTTCTCCATCTTTTTTTCCTCTCTTTTTTTCCCTATTTACAGTATTCTGTTACTTTAGCAATTTGATTATAAAGATTTAAACAAAAGTGCTTTGGTAACTGTTTAGTGAAAAAAAGGTATTAAATACTTGGAAACTGAAACCATGCAGTCTAAATACATCAAGTTTGGTTAAATGAACAACTATCATCAGATTTGTATCCAAAATCAAATTACGATAATCAGTGACGATTACTCAACAGACTTGTCGTGAAGATGTTACAATAAGTGTGATAAAAACTATAGCTTAATGATTGCTACTGCCATGTTCATGAAGGAACTTACAGTTCTTCGGAGCTCCAGTCCACATTGAGCTAATCTATCCAACGGTATTGAAAACGATGGATTTGTGCTATTAATGGCGACTGAATAAGTTGTGGAACAACCAGCTGTTCGCCTCCAATTTTTGATAAACACAGTGCCTTCGAAAATATCTTCAGTTTGGCCTTGAATGCTTATTTTTTCTGGTCCACATGTTACCTTGGGTGTGGCTACAAAAAAAACAGGAAGAAAAAAATTGAATTTGATTTTTGTTGTTAATTGAAAAAATATGAAGAAAACAAATCTTTTTATGCATATTTTCTAAGACCGTCAAACAATTACAGCATTCAAAGTAAAAATGCTATTAACTAAAATGATTTTCAGCATATTTTTATAAAAAGTATATTTAGTGATGCTAATAAAACAGCTTATCAGTGGTATAAATTCGTAAGAGTTGTAGAAATAATTTACCAAACTTAGAAAAGTATTTCTGCTATGGATAAATCAGTAACAGCAAAAAAAAAAAACTGCAGAAAAGTGAATGGTTAACAGAAAACAAAAATGAAATTTAACACAGTGATTATTTTTGGCTACAATTTTTTTCCTCTTTTCACTTTTAATTTCAAATCAGCAGGTAAAATCAGTTTTGTTGAAAGGTTCATAAATCAAAAATTTGTGAATGTGATGATTTAAAGAAATAAAAAAATAGAAAAAAAAAAGAAAGAAAATAGATAGAGAAAGTTTGAAAAAATTTACAAGTTAAAAATACAAATATAAAGAGAAAGGAAAAATGAAATAAAACAACAAAGAAAAGTAAAATAAATTAACATAAAGGGAAAACTAACAATTTTTTTTCATCTATTTACTTAAAAAAAAAAGTACGGCAGAAAGAAAAGAAGAAAATTGAGATAATTAAAAAGTAATAAATACATATTTTCAGTAGTCATTTTTTACGGTTTTTCAAGTTTTTTGCCGTTTTTTTTTTTTGTATTTTAATTTGGTGAAAAAAAAAAACCGATAGTTCCGATAGGTTTTTTGCTGTTGCCAATTTTTTTTTATTTTTCATTGTCAACCACTAATCTATTCATTTATGAAAACAGACGTCAATGAAAGAACAAAAAAAACTTTAACACTTACCCAATAATTTATTATCAATTGTTT